ATCACCGTTGACAGGCAAGAGCTAGGCTTCTTTTGTTCGTTTATTGAACGAAATGTCTAAATAGACTTTTAAATTCAATTTATGGTCGGACAGTTTTCAACTTGCCCATATATCTCGCGTATTGCATTTAGTCGTACTTAGCTTTTCTAGCTTCTAATTTTTCTGTATTATCAGACTGATCAATCAAATGGTTCTACTGTTCTTTTATTGTCTAGTGTGTGTCTTTCAACACATTGTTGCAGATACTACCATATAGTCCATGGTTTTATTGTGGATACCTTTCTGAAAACTGTACGGTTCTTGGAAGCGAAGGTAGTTTGTTCATAAATTTCATTCTGGTTCGTTTTTCCTTTACTACTTTTTTTCCAGCGAAAAGCAATCGAACAGTGGTGGGAAAAAGATGGTCGCACTCAATTTGGTGGTGTCGTTGATACAGTCAAGGTTACGGCCGGAGTCATTTACGAGATAGCGAAGGATGTTTTTCAGTTAACCATAGGTGGGACTTTCCTCGTTATCCAAATTGCTTTATGGCTTTTCATCTCTCAGGCATTTGGCAAGAGGGCTTGACGTCCTTTTCTGAATTTTAAAGCGGGTTTTGTTTGCTTTAACGTAATAATATTAAGTTTCAGTCTAAGAACTGACGCCATCTGAAAAAGCTTGTAATTCCATCATATTTTGCCCTAACTAGAAAGTTTCAAAGCTATCGATAATGTTTTTTATCAGTGAATTTTTACCCTGAAAATCCCAATCTGGCATAAAACAATGGCTCTACATCTCTCAGATATTCATGAAATGTTTTTGTACATTTCACAGGCGCCAGATGTTCTTTATTTTGATTCTTGAATCATGCTCACTTTGGAATCTCGTGTGGAACACGTTCGTGTCATTATGGAGGGCGAGTATTTTTCATTGCAGACCCAAAAAGAATCATCTATGCGAAGAAAATTTGCCTAAATGATTCCTTTGGATTTGCATACTGTGAAGCACAATGCAATTCATATTTCGCGTCAACGATGAGATTGATCTTTTTTATCTACGTCTCAAAGTTTCGTAATTCTTCGGAACCGTGCCATTTGAATGCACTTTGAAAGTTATCCATACGGTTATCACGAGGTATTATACCCTGTTTTCGCACTCTCTATCCGATCTATAAACATTATAGATAGAAGTAGTGTTTAAATATGGCGCA